GTATTTCTTGATGTATTTTTGGAAGACTTTTTTTTTCCTTTTTTACCTTTTATTTTTCAGATGTTAACTTTTCCACGTATTTGAAAATTTTCAGTTATTTTAAAACATTATTGTCATATTTTTTGTTTTGTTTTACTTTCAATAATTATAGCTGGATTTTACCAGTTTGAGATCCCAAGACATCTCAGTGGCACCTGCCACTTTCCAATAGCTGAGGGAGAAAATAGTCACAGATATGGATTACCTGAAAGTCTTGGTGTATATAAATGACTTTATTGATTTTGGGAAGAACATGGAGAAAGATGAATGCAAGTATCGGAATGGCAAAAGGAAGCTGTCAAATGACTAATGCTAGTTTTGCACAGCTTCTCTCAAGTACACAAGTCAAAGAGTATCTCCGTAAGGTGTGAGCACTGATCCAGAGAAGAAAGAAGTGCTCTTGAACTGGGCACACCAGTTCAACCTTTTGTCCTACACACAGATGCCAGCCTGAAGTATTTGGGAGCAGTGATTTTTACCAGGAAAGTGATGGCCACCAGGAATCAACTACATTCACTAGCCAAAGACTTAATGACAGTGAGACTCACTATGCCATAGATGAATCGGAATTCTTGATGTTGAAGTGGGTTGTCACTGAAAAGTTCAAAGACTGTGTGTGGAACTAAATTCTAACTGTGGATCAACAATAATACATTGATATATTTTGACAAGTACTAAATAAGTGCTTCTTATTATCGATGGGTAGCAGCACTGGCCAACTAAGACTTCAGCATTTACTAACAGCTAAGGAAGACTAATGTGGACACAGATGCTCTTTCCCAAGGGTCACATGATATCAAAGCTACAGTGATACCTAAGGAGAGAGTGTAGGACTTTATGTGATTCCCAGGCAGCTGGGCCGTTATCAAGTTGATGTGTAGCTAAGACTTTGGGACTTTTCCCACCCTGTATGGCAGTGGCTTATATGAACCTTGTTTCATTGAACTTTCCTTGCATCAATTGTCTTTAGAAGATTGCCAGTGAAAGCAGATGGCTGATGGGCTATAAGAAGTGATATAAGCCAAGAAGCATGGAAGTGAGGTTAAAGGACTTTAAGTTCCATTCACTAGAAGTTACTGTTGAAACAACAGAAGTTGGACCTGTGTAATGGAGTACTATATTGGACTATTATTAATCCTGCATGTGGTACCAAAAAGCAAATGGTGCCATCCAATGCTTATCACTCTATGTCTATCACCATGATGACTTTGGACATATAGATCAAGAAAGAAGTCTGGAGTAAGAAACAGATTTTACTGGCCTGAGATGGTAGCAGATGTTACTAAGAAGTGTGAGATGAGTTCATTATGTACAAAGAAAAGCTACCAACTTGTGCCTCATATTTGAAGAACATAGGCACAATCAAACCTTTGGAACTTGTCTTAACTGACTATCTCTGGAAGAAGACAGCAAGAACATAAGTTATATTTTAGCAGTGACTGATCATTTCAGCAGGTACACATAGGCAATATGCAGTCCCAGTCAGGAATCAGAAGCTTCCATGGTTGCTAAATTGTTGTAGAATTATTTCTCAGTGTATAAATTCCTTGCTAGGATCCATCCTGACCAAGGGAGAGACTTTGAGAGCAAGCTACTCAAAGAAATGCTAGCATTCACAAATATCAAGGAGTCAAAATATACCTTACCACCTCCCGAAGAGACTCTTAGCCCAAGTGTTTCAATTGTACACTGTTGAACCTGTTAGAACACTGAAACCAGAACAAAAAATGGAGTGGGGTCAATATATGGTATCTGTAGTACATACATACTATAGCCTCCACCAGGAGGCTATAGTCTTTAAACCATACTTACTGATGTTTGGGCAGGAGTCACATCTCTTTATTGATTCGTGCACTGGAGTCTCAGAAGAGGGAAGAAATTCAAACACTCATAATAAGTGCAGTTATCAGCTGAGAGGAAGAAGGCAGCCTATAAACTAGGCATGACTTCAGCTTGGAAGAGCTAACAGAAACAGACAACAGCGTGGTGGCCAAGTTCGTTATAAAAAGTCTTGCTGAGAAACCTTGGTGTTCAAGGGACACACAAGTTGACAAACTGATGGAAAGTTACTCTATACCAAATTGCTGGGGCACTGGACACCTTGATTATTTATAGAATAGATCCAGAGAGTGGCTGGGGCCTGGTAGAAACAATTAGTTACAGCCATCTGTTATCCATAGCAAATTTGGTTGGTTTCATTGATGAACAGGAAGACAGAAATAACAGGTACACACCTCAGTGGACTCTTAGTAAGAAAAGCTGTTTACCAATTTTACAAAAATGGTCTGAATTGGATCAGAATGAAATGACATTTTCAGTGAAGAAGACACTATATATTGTAACTCAACAACTTTGCCTTACTGAGAATGTGGGGAAAAGATTAAACCCAGAGACAGCACCTTTCCTCCTCAGAACTTCATCTACAGAGACTTTTAGGGTGCAGAGACAATTCATAGAAGCTAGAAATGCTGATAGCCAGAGTTAGACCCTCAAAACATTCAGGAATAGGAATGCAGACCTATAGATCTGATGGCAATGATGATAATTACCATTAATCAGCTCAGGTATAGGGCCAGAAAGAACAGCAGGATACAAGATAACTAGGTCTATCTGACCTGTGAGCAAACTAACCTTTGATGTTATTTGTGAAACTGGATAAATGGTTTTACATTTAGTCAGACAATAATGCTAATGTTTCTCAGTGCCTTACTTTTAACTGTTTATATTTACTTACGTGCATGTTAATTACTGTCTGTTTTGAGTTATGCTTTATTTTATTATTTTACTGTTTATTTATGTGTTAGTGTTATACATATACCATAGCAAATCTGTTAACAAGGTATTGTTTTGCTGCCTATTTGCATATGTGCTAATACTCATGCATTTTTTATTATTATACAAGCCTATCTACATTGGTATTTCTAGCTTTTTTCCTATTTATGCATATTTGCTTGTATACTATGAATATGTGTGTACTATCAGAATATGTTCATGTAATATGTTCTGAATATAATTTAGAGACTGAGTCATTGAAACTACCTTGCACTGTCCTGTGCCTACTGAATGTAACGCTGTTGTGAACTTAAGGTAATAGTATCGTTGGATGATTACCCAGGATTCTGGGGCAATTATCCTTGCTATTTTAAATGCTGATATTTACATTGATGCTTGTGACATATATTTGTAGAAGTCAAGTATACTTCAAGTGATTTTAAAAGAGGCTACACAATTTCTGGCACTGGGGAAGAATGCAATCTAAATTTGCCAAGCCCACAGATTTTTCCTTTTGCCAACAAGCCATGCAAACTACCCAGAGTTCCTGAAGTTTTTGTGGTCTTTCCTTTGCCCTTGGCTGGACTTCAGGGAAAGAAAAGACAACAGGAGAAATACCACCCAGAACTGATGGGATCATTTCCTCTAGAACACTTTTCTAGAACTCTATTCTGGACTGTTAAGTTGTAGGGCAGAGTGATGACTGGGTGCAAGATGAAGTGGAATAGAGATAGACTCAGCAGATTAGAGAGGCTACTGAGAAAACACAACTGTTGCCTAATAATTTTGTTTTCCTTTTCTTTGCTACTGGCTATATATGTTATCTTATGTTTGCTCCCCCCAAAAATTCCTGTGGCTTTATATCTTCCCTCACTCCTAGATCATGAGGGGGCGGGGAGAAACAGCATGGGGAGGAGAAAAGTCAATTTTGTTTCCTATCCATTGCAGTTCCAGGAAGCAAGATTTCAGATGAAATGTCTTCTGATTGTTCATTTAGTTTTTATGTCATTAACGTGATGGCTGCAAATGTGAACTACTTGCATTGGAAATTGTATGCACAGAAAGAAAATAAGAGGAAAGATCCTAGTCCCTAAGAAAAGATAGACTGTTTTCCCTTAGCACAAGCTGGAAGGTAGGATGAGGAGTCAATCAAACAGAGAAAGCACGTGAGTTTTATCATCTTGCATTGTGTGCATGAATTAAAATGGTACCCTAGACAAAGAGAGAACGAGAAAGAGACTCATATTTGCCGTGAGTCAGAAGGCCCGCTTGTTGGAGAAGATAGTTATTTTTCGCTTGATAGAATTTTAGGGGTGATTGGACTTTTTTTTTTTGGCATAGCTGTTTAGCCCAAAAGGGAGTGAGTGATGACTTTGCAGATGAAATCATACATTCTCCCTGGCTGTGGCTAGACAAATTGACTTGATAGCATAGGATTTTGCTCAAGCAAAGAAACAATTGTCCTTCAAAATAAAATAGGATGCTACTGAATAAATTGATAATCATCATTCTCTATTTATAGCTATTAATCCAAGTTTGGTCTTTATCCTAGAGATACTGAGATGAAACTCAATAAATTAAGAAAGTCAACATGATGTAGATGTCCTAGATCTGATCTCAGAGTCAGGAATACCTTGGTCCAAGTCCTGTACTGATTCATACGTACTGGCTGTGTGTTCCTGGGCAAATAACTTCTCTGTGCCCCTTATTAAGATTCTAGGTTGTAGAGCAATTGCCCATCTGACTTGGTAGAAGGAGCTTCCTCACTGGTAATTCCCTCTGCCAATGAAGTCATAAGTCTGAACAAAAAACAAAAACCCTCATTTAACTAGAAGGCTTTGAGAACAAGTGCTGGTTAATTGAATTTTATGGTCAACTCATGTTTCATTACTTGTTGAAAATCCTTCCAAGATGTATTGGTCTCCTTCCTTGCCTTATGTAAGTAGAATACAATGCTTGTGATTTAGTATTTCTTTCTTTTCTTTTTTTTTTTTTTGGTGAGGCAATCGGGGTTAAGTGACTTGCCCAGGGTCACACAGCTAGTAAGTGACATGTGTCTGAGACTGGATTTGAACTCATGTACTCCTGACTCCAAGGCCAGAGCTCTATCCACTGCACCACCTAACTGCCCCGTGATTTAGTATTTCTTTAACGATCAAAAATCTTGATGGACCTCAAGGGAACAGTACTTAGTTTTAATAGATTTAATAGTTTTAAATGTTGTAGGATAATGGTTTGAATCAAAGTTAACCTCAGGAAACAATCTGGAAGTAGGTTTGACGTTACTGGTTATGAGTTCATTTTTCTTTCATTTTCAACTTTCTCCCTAAACTGAGTTGCTAGATGGAAAAAAAAAACCCTATTAATTGAGAATTCTAGTTAGTGGGGCCAGTAAGGTCTTATCAAATATGTGTAGATATATTGTGTGTGTTTTTACATTTATCAGTGGTTAGTTCTTTTAATTTAGTAAGCACTGATTATTTAAGGGCACAGAAATGTATATAGTTACTTTAGTGAATCTTTAAATTTAGGAGGTTGTTCAACTGTTATTACATGGCATCTCTATGTTGTGAATTCATGTCACTGAATAATCATGACATTCAAATACCTGCTAAAATCCAAAGTAGGAAAGATCATTTAGTAAATTCATAAATGATCTTTTTGTTGGTGATTTAATATCAAGAGCTAACTATTAGCTTGTTTAAATAGTGGCTTTATAAGTTGATTACAGGTGTTAACATATGAAGCTTTGGCTGAGATGGGCTTACAGGTAAGAAACAAAAACATACTTGTGACATCCTAACTCTACACACTAGTGACCTGTAAGCAAAGCAGAAGTTGTCAATGAAACAATTAGCTTATTGCTTTGAAATGTAAATGGGAGGAAAGTTCAAGAATTGCTAATTATTTTTCCCTACTGTAGACAGATTAGTAGTAACATTTATACAGCTCAACATTACAGGTATTCATCTACACAAAAAACAGAAAAATCTTCCTAAAAAACATTCTGCTTTTTTGTAAAGGGTACAGGGGGCCAAATATATTGTAGTTTCATATTATAACCTATAGCCCACAGTTTAAGTAATAATAGGTGTTCTTCTTGGACTCAGTTTAAAGGGAATTTAGTTATCAGAAGAACTGTAAAGAAATCATCATAGCAAGATCTCGCCAGTGTCATAAATTCCAAGGTTGCTGCTAAATTGCCTTGGTCAAGACAGTAAACTGCATCTTCATTAATATGAAGTGTGACTACCACAATGAAAATTACCAGTACAAAGCATCTGAATCAGGACAGATTACAGGAAGTGCTTAGGGATATTAATATATATATGTCCATATTCATATATGAAGACAGTGTTGTAGAAATGACAGGTTGGGAGGCAGGAAGACCTGGTTTCAAACTCTCCTCTGACACTTGCCAGCTGTATGACCCTGGGTAAGTAATTTAAACTTTATGTGCCTTGGGCAGCTCTATAGGATTTATCTCAAGTCATAGATGGTTGTGGGCTATGATGCATGTTGTCAGGTGGAATTCCTGGAAGGAAGTTCCATGCTGACAAAATCACAGATACTTCTCATTCACATATGAAGTAAAGTCAAAGCATTATTATTATTATTATTATTATTATTATATTGGCTGTCTAGTACACAAGTATATGTTTTCAAAGCAATTAATGGAAATAATTCTTGGTATGTTCCTTTCACCATTAATTTTTCTACTTCCTGATGAAATAGAAGATGATTCATCTAAAATAAAGTTTTTCTTATGTAACAGTTTCCAAGATATAATTGTAAATTATTCTTGAGTGGATCTTGAAACACTATTAAGATGGTTTGCTTTTTATAATGCATATTTAAGTTACTTCAATCTGTTAGGCACCCTTGAAATGAGTTCTGACTTTGACAATAAGGTCATTTAGATCCACAAATCACTACTGTTTTGGTCAATTCAAAGACAATTATAAACAAACATTCTAGTTTCTTAAAGTAATTATATGATCTTTCAAATTCCAAACTTACAAAATTAGTATTTTTAATCCAAAATATAATTTCATTTTTGTGTTGCCTCACTAAGGGCTAAATGTAAAACATTTTGATTTTTGCCATTAAGAAGGGGAACTGGAAATGAAATAATAACCTATTTTGATTTTAATATTAGCCATACTTTCCCCCTCAAATATGTTAAAGTGATAAAAACAATTGTTTGAATTAACAGAAATGTAAAAAAAAAACTTTCGGAGTAATTTTCAATATGATAATCTTGTAAAAAAATTCAATTTGCATTTATATACTTTTTTTCCTTTCAAAGACTCATTTTAGGAGAGTGGCCTATTTTCAGAAGCAGCTTTGGACCCATAAGAACTCATTGTAATATCCCCTTTCTTCCTTTCATTATCAGTATCATTATGCTGAAAGCACTCGTTCTTCACTGACTTTTGGAAGTCTTTTTGTATAAAAGGTCAACCTTGGTCTAATGGTCTAGTGAATTCATGGCAATTTATCGTATATTCTCTGATGATTCTTAATCAACTTTTGTGGAACCAATAAGAAAGAATAGTTCAAAGACCTTGCTTCAAATCTTGGTTCTTTCATGAACTAGCTATATGTCCATGGGCAACTTATTCAATTTCTCTGGGTCTCAGTTTCCTCATTTGTAAAATGGTGATAAAATCCTTGCTGTATATATCTCCCAGGGCTATAGTGAGGAACAAATGAGATAATGTATGTGAAAGTTCTTTGATGAGAAAGAAATGCTATATAAATGTATTATTATTACCACAAACCTCTTCTACTCAGAAGATAAGCTAGAACTTTCTTCCGACAACTTTAGTTGCTAAAAATGAAATTTTTTTTTAAAGGAAACAATTATATTGAATTCTACTAGAAAACACACCACAATGAAGAATTTCCAGTGAATCCACAAGATGTTCTTTCGGCTTTGCTGCTGTGGTTACGGGGTTCCCATCAATAAGTAAAAGGTCAGCGCAACAATAAGAAGCAAGCAGAATGGAGAGGAGAAGGTTTGATAAGCAGCCGACGGCATAAAAATGTCTTCATACTTGTAAATACTGACAACACGCTCTGATGTAGGTGGTGAATCTATGTCATGCCGAGTTATAGATCCTTTAAAAGAAAAGGATTGGAAAAAATAAAGATTTAAAACAAAATACCTGCAGAGCCAAGGAATCTTAAAATCTTCAGTGCCAAGTAAGCGAGAATCAGCAGCTTGAATTACACTCTCACATCCATGACTGAATAATAAAGAAATGGAGTTATCACAGAAATTAAATGAAGTATCTCCTGGATACTACTTAAATGAATGAAACAGGCTGGTTTCTCACTTTCTGACATTCTTCCCCCATGCAGACATCTTCTATGGGATAAGCTCTACTGGTCTCTCACTGATTTAGTCATCAGGTAAACTAGTCTGTTACCTTGTGTAGCTGGGCTCTAAAGTTCACTCAGTTCTAGTAATTTAAACTTATTGACACCATATGGGGCTCCTCAGAACACAAAAGGCTGGACAGCCAGACCTTAAAGGTCAAAATTTATATAATTTACTGACTGTGAGTGTATAGCAAGATGTTGCTACAATGCATGGTGGTGACTTATTCTGTCTGCTTTCTTCTTAGTGTTTTGTACTGTCTACACTCCCATCATTGTGTTTTTCAGGGAGCTCCCACAGTGGAGCTTAGTTTTATAGCCATAAATGGACCACTGCATAAAAATCTGACTAACAGAACTTTTTTTTTTAGAGAGTAGGAAAGTGACTATGTGGCCTGTCTACTTATACTTGGAATAGAACTTACCCAAAAGCTTGATAAGAATTTACCACTTTCAAGAAGAATATTAACAACTCTCTCCCAAAGATAATTTTAAAAGGAACAAACTTTCAACCTTGGCTTCAATGGAAGTCTCTATCTCTCTTACATAAATTTGCTTTTAACATTGGCAGGCCAGAAATAGAAGACCTAACTGTACTGAAATTGGATATTGGAGGCATCATGTGCTGGCTTTCCCTTTGCTCTACTTTCTTAGGGAATCCCCTAGGGTTAATGAAATAGAAACACCAACATTCCCAGTGAAGCATTGCCCATAACCTTAGAGATTGAGGACAATAAAGACCCAAGTGGGGAAAGTGGGTGAGAAGCACATAGCCAATCTTTATATAGTATCATGAACTTGAGATGCTGGCCACTCTAGGTACAGGGTTCAGAGACATTGTTAAGCCATTTTTTCCCCATAGATATATAGTATATCGTATACCTAGTGACAACAGTCTTCTAGTTGGTCTGTCATACTGAGTTTCTACCTGCTCTAGGACACCCTATATACAACTGCTAGATTCATCCTCTTAATTGCCTTTACCATATCACTTTCTGGCTTAGTAACCTACAACAGCTCCCTATAGCCTATGATCAAACCCTTCAGGTTGAAATTCCAGGCTCTCTTCTACTTGCCAATCTTCTTATTCCCCAAACTGGTTCCTCCTTGTTAACATATACCTTGCTCACAGACAGCTTGCTCATTCCATCTTCTCCTGTCTATTTAAATCCTGTACTTCCTTCTAGAAGCAGCTCAAGTTTAATTTTTTTTCTTACATGCCTTCTTTGACTATTCCCACTCTCATAGGAATTTTTCTATTCTTTTGACATCCATGAAAACCAAATACTTTTGAAGTAGTTCAAGGAAGCAGATATAAGTGCGTAGTCTGGTTTCTTAATATACTCCCAGTCTCCATCAACCTTTTTCTTTTCCTTGACCACTGATTTTCTAGTCTTAGAGTTGCAACCTCCATATTTATATGGAAGTTTTTCTTGGTGAGATCCTTCCTCTTTTACAATTTCCAGCACTACTGTAATTCTGATGGTCTGATCCACTGCAGAATCCATTACTGTTTAGACATTGATGGAAATAGCCAACACTGGATTATTGGTTCAGATCTTCAGTCAATCTATACTTTTTTTAAAATGAAGAGTGTTGACAAAATAAAATATCAAAGTGAATTCTGAATTACACCTAACTCCATAGACTGAATCAGTAAAGTAACACTGGCAGGTAGGAAAATGGTAAAAATGTCACCAAATCCTTTGGCAGTATCCCAGAAAAGCTTTCTTTTGATTCTTCTATCCAGTTACAGCTACTGTCCCAGCCTTCTCCTTTCCTTAATGGCCAAGTTCCTTAAAAATGTAGCCTCCATCTAATACTTCTACTTTCTTACCATTTATTCACTGTTGTATTTTGTTTTTGTTTTTTTGGCTAGGCAATGAGGTTAACTGACTTGCCCAGGGTCATACAACCAGTAAGTGTCAAGTGTCTGTAACTGGATTTGAACTCAGGTCCTCCTGACTCCAGGGCCAGTGCTGTATCCACTGAACCACCTAGCTACTCTACATTTTTCACTCTTATCTCACCTTCTTGCAGCTGAGCTTCTATTCCTACCATTTTTCTGAAACTGCTTTCTCAAAAGTAATCAATAACCTCATCATTAAATCTAATATCCCTTTTCCAGCCTTCATCCTCCTTAACTTCTGTGCAATATTCTCCACTATTAATTAAACTACTATCTGCAAAATCCTTCTACCTTTGGCTCCCAAAACACCACACTTTCCTGGTCTTCCTCTTAGCTAACTGATCCTCCTGTCTTTGTTGGCTCTTCATTTTTTTTTAATGGTCCATTGATGTTTATGTTTCTTAAGCTTATTTTCTAATCCTTCTACTTTCTTGATGCTTTCTCCCTTGGCAATGCCATTCACTTTTATGGTTTCAACTATCTTCTCTACATTAGATACATTTCCCTAAATCTAGAGCACTGGATTTTGAGCCAGAAGACCTGGGTTTGAATCCTGGCTCCTGCCAGTGGTCCTACTTATATTATCTCAGAGAAGTCACATTACCTTTTTGGCTCTTAGGTTCCACATTTATAAATTAAGGAATGGGACTAGATGGCCACTAAAATCCCTTACAGTGAACTAGGTGATACAGTGTATAGAGCATCAGGTCTGGAGTCAGGAAGACCTGAGTTCAAATCCAGTCTCTGAATACTTACAAGCTCTGTGATCCTGGGCAAATCATTTAACCTCTTTTTGCCTCAGTTTCCTCATCTGTAAAATAAGGATAATAATAGCTCTACCTCCCAGGGTTGGTGTGAGGGTCAAATGAGATAATAGTTGTAAAGCACTTAGTGCAGCACATGGCACAAAGTAAGCACTACATAAATGTTAGCTATCATTATTATTATCATCATGAAGGAAATAAGCATTTGTTCTAAGTCAATAATTCTGTCCATTCTAAACCTGCTGCCTCCAACACTTGTCCTCTCTTCTTCATTCCCACTGCCGCTATTCTAAAAGGGAAGTACACAGTGTGTCCTAAAAATTTTAATGCAATTTTAAGTTATTAAAGCTGAGCAGGTATTCTGTGCAAGAGTTTTGTCTATTTATCTCCCTGCTTATGGGTCAGCTGATGAAGGGAGAGGTTGATTGTACTGTCATTTATCCTAGAGTACTAAGGAGTGCTGGATGCTAGGAAGAAAGTTGGTAATATGAGTGTTTTGGTGGTATGCAGGGACTGGCCTTGGTGGTAAAATAGAGTGGTAGTTATAGAGCGTTGATGAAGTGAAGTGTATGCATAGAAGAGATTGGCCAGTAGTGGCCAAGAGGCTTGGTGTGGTGGCTCCCATAACACTGATCTAATGCTGCTTCCCCTTGTGTCATCATTATGTTTTGTGAGGGTATTCCCAGGTGTTTATGTCAGCTTAGGTCATGTTTTGTGTTCTTCCAGCTCTCCTACACAGTATGTGTGGAGTCAGTGATGATAAAACTATGAAATCAGATCCAGGCTTCCATTGCCCATCTGAATTATACCAACCAAGCTCACTCTCAAGTTCCATTCCTAGGATAATGTGCTAACAAGAGCTATCACTCTGGCAATCATAATACTCAATATTGTCCACCGAGACTCCTAATAATGCTTCTCATCTACCACTTTCTTTCCATTCCAAGTCATCTTTCCCATAACTATCAGATTTATTTTCTTTAGGGATAGAGCTAGTCATGCCATTCCTTTGGTCAAAACCCTCCATTTACTCCCCATTGAAACTAGTTACGTTCAAAATCCTTAGCTTGGCACTTAAGATCCCTCACAATCTGGCATCATGCCGTCTTTCTATACTTTTTCACATTAATCCCCTTCACACATTCTATGTTGTAACCAAAGTGTAGAACTGGAGATCTTTTTCATGCTTCCGCGCTTCCGTATTTTGCTCAATTGTTCCTTATGCCGATAAGGTCTTCATTCATTATGGTTCAGGGCAGCTGGTCCTGGGTTCATCCCTGCAAAGCTACCCACAGTTTCTGTAATAAGGAAGCCTGATGCTCATGTGGTGGGCAAGAGATGAATGAAGGTAGCATCTAACATAATGCAGTATAACACAGATAAATGTCAAGTCCTGAATTGAAGTTCAGAAAATCAGTTGCTCAAGTATAATATGGGGGAAATGTAGCTAGACTGAAGTTCGTGTGAGAAAAAATTGGGGTTTTAGTTAGATGCAAACTTGTTAGAATCATTGAGAGCTGGCTGTAGGATTTCCAGCCCTGAAAGTAGTATCAAAATGGTGGGGAAGCCAAATTTATTAGCAATCATCAATATAGGAGGGTCTGGCTGAATTAAAGAGGAGAACTGAGGTGTCACAGCCAAGGTAACAACCACAATTATATGCCAAAATTCTGAGTCCATAGTATGGTGCCAAGAAGAGGTGATGAGCTTGGACAAATGAACAAAAAGGAAAACTGGGAAGGAAAGGTGGTTTTGAGTCAGGATCCCCATGAAACAAGACAGGAACTTCCAGGATAGATCACTGTCAAGATCACCTGATCAAATGGTTGACAAGCTCCTTTTATCAAGGTGTCGTAGCCCCACCCACTCCTGTGCTTTAAAGGAGCAATGGCTCTGTGAATCTGTGTCAGGGTCCATGTTTTATATTTCTTTTGTATCCTCTACTTTTGGACAAATAGTAGGAGCTCAGTTATAGCTTGAGTATTTGGGGGGGAATAATCGCTTAGGGTGTTGAATTCCATTGGTAACTATCAACTTACCTTGAATTGCTGGTCCCCAAGCAAATAAGTAATACCAGCTCAAATGAAGATCCACTATTGTTTCATCTCTGGGAACGTTCACGGGACGTTTAAATCTACAGGTCACACGATTATTTTCAAAGATGCCTTCTTCATCCCTGGCAGGGTTTCTCTGGATCTCTTTGGCCCACTGACCAACGTTGTAAAAGTGTTGTATGCGGACTCTGCCATTGTCATCGTGAACACAGGCCATGACATCATCACCACCCTAAAAACAAAATAGTTTAAGAAGAAAAAAAAGTCAGAGATGCATCTTTTGAAAGATCTGCCCCATAGAAATTACAACTGGGAACATAACTGCTCATTCATGCCTAAAGAATAGAATTGGGACAGCCCTTTTGTCATATTTTTGTCTTGGTTTCTGGTTCCATGTTGGTAATGTTAATTATTCCTTAAAACACCATAGACAAACAACTTATATTGAGTCAGAAGGGATATTTATAGTTTATTTGATCATTAGTTCATAGGATCATGATTACAGCTGAAAGAAGCCCCATAGGCTGACTAGTCAAAGCCCTTGTTTTACTGACAAGAAAACTGATATCTAGAGGGATAAAGTGATTTGCCTGAGGAAACATGGCAAGTAAGGAGCTGAGCTAGAACTAAAACCTTTCATGACTGTCTGTCTAATTCTTTATCTTTTATACAAGAGATCTAACAATTTCAGGTAACTAGAAAGTACTACAGAAATGTAGTAGCACTTGAATAACTGAATGAAAAATATTTAGTAAGCGTGTCTTGTGTGTCAAGCACAGGGGATACAATCAGAAAAAGCTAGCCACTCCTTACTTTCAAGGTAAGGAGGAAAACACTCAAGAAAAACTGTGTTTTACTCCCAGCTCTATCACTGTTTAACTATGTGGCCTTGAGCAAGGCACTGAAACTAGTCAGGCCTCAGTTTCACCTTGAGTAAAATGAGTGGGGTTAGATTCGGTACGCCCTAAAGTACTTTCTAGCTCTAAAAAGCTTCAACTAATGTCTAGGAGTCTCATGGCTCCCCCAGGGTGATCTTCATATAAAAACATCTGCTCCAGACTCTATGCTTTGGGATGAACAGTTTAGATTTAATAATTAATCATGAAAATATAGAGTATGTTCCTATTAGGCATTTCCATTCATCACAGGTAGGAGGCAGAATCTTTTTCGCTGTTTAGTCATTTCAGTCATGTCTGACTCTTTGTGATCCCATTTGGGATTTTTTTTGGCAAAGATACTGGAATGGTTTGCCAATTCCTTCTCCAGCTCATTTTCAGATGAGGAAACTGAGGCAAATATGGTTAAGTGACTCGTTTAGAGTCATACAGAGTCACTCTAGTAAGTGTCTGAGGCTAGATTTGAACCCAGGAAGATGAGTCTTCCTGGTGCCAGGCCTGGAACTCTATCCACTGCACTATCTAGCTGCCCTAAGTCTTTACATCTACTCGTATTTGGACAAGACGAGAACTAGAGAGTTAGTTCTTCCCTCTCCAACTTGATTTCTCCTTTGTCTGGATCATTGTTAGGTGCTGGAGATATAATACAAAAAGGAAACAAGTTCCTGCCCTCAAGGAGCACACCATCTATTAGAGGAGACAACATGTCTCTAATTATCTATATAAAATATTTATCAAGTAATTTTTTTTGTGTGTGGGGAGTGCTTAGGGGAATTAGGACTGTTTTGGGGTGGTACAGCAAGTAGTCTTCCCCACAGGACTCCTGAATTGAATAGTCCATGATTGAGAGGTAGCATGGTACAGCAAGGAGAGTCCTGGACTTGGAGTCAGGAAAACCTGGATTTGAATCCTACATCAGACTTTTTTTTTTGTTCTTGTTACATGAGGCAATGGAGCGAAGTGACTTGCCCAGGGTCACACAGCTGGTAAGTGTCAAGTGTCTGAGGCCAGATTTGAATTCAGATCTTCCTGAATCCAGGACCCGTGCTCTATCCACTGCGCCACCTAGCTGCCCCTACCTCAGGCATTTATTAGATGTGTGATCCTGGGAAAGTGACTTAAGTTCTCTGGGCCTCATTTTTCTATATCTGTAAATAGGATGATGATAGCACCTCCCACTCAGGATTGATTTGAAGATGAAATGAGGAAATGTATATAAAGTGCTTTACAAACATTAGAGTGTAATATAAGCTATTGTTATTATTGATAAAATGATTAGTTAACTCTCTGTCTCTCTGTCTCTCTCTCTCTCTCTCACACACACACACAATCTTTTCTGGTTTTTTTTAATCAATCATTTATTAAGCACTTATTATGTGTCAGACATTGTGTTAAACTCTTAGGATGCAAAGAAAAGCAAAAACTGATTGCCTCTCAAAATGACTCCCTCCTTAAGCCAACAATTGAAGGAGCTCAGCTCCTAGTTTTGCTTTACTGGGATAAACACAGCATAAAAACAGGCAGTACAAACAATAAGGTGTCAGGGTTTAAGACTTCGCCTTGTTATCCAAGGGCTCTTGAAAAATATGCTCAGGTGAGAAGAATGTGACCTGGAAGAAAGCCCAAAAGAGATTTCCAAATGTCTGTCAATAAGAAGGATCAAGACTGATAACAGTATTTTGAGAAACCATGTTTCAGCAAATGGATCCCACTGAAATGAAAAAAAAGGTTTAACTTGTCTGAAATACACTTTTCAAGAAAATGCACCTGCTTATTGTTAGTCACCTCTTAAAATACTCACCTTGGTTTTTTCTAGGATGTTGCCCTGCTAAGAAAATTCTAAAAAACTCAATTTGTAGGGGGAAAAAAATCCCAACAAATGAACAACAACAAAAAAATCAAACAAGTGCCATGTTGCACATTTAATAGTAGGAAATGAAGTCTGGACAACATGGTTATAGTTTCAAATTTCAAATCTAGCAATAATACAATGCATCAAGTCTCCAGCCCCAGTTTCAATCTTACCATTTTCTTGTCTGAGGAAAATCCAACTGCCACCCAGCCATCAGTGTCAGCACTTAGTTCAAATTCTACATCAGCTCCTATCATGCGGTAACTAAGGAAATAATCACAGGTTTCTGCAGTACATCCTGGTTTCCCATACCTAGAAGACAGAGGAAAATAGGTCTTACTTCTTCTAAAATCTTGAACACGAACATTCCCTTGTACCTGCCCATCTGTGGTTTGACCATTTACTGACTTTAGTCATTTAAGGATCTATACCTTTGTCTATGTGCACTATCCCTTTCACCAACGCAGATCTTAATGCTTATGTAATTTTGTAGCTGGGCAAATTTTTAAATCTTATTTTACTGCAGCATTTCATTTTCTCATCACATTGATTTTCAAATAAATACCTCCCTACTCTTCTACCCAGTGAATCATCCCTTATAATAAAGATTAAGGAAGGGGGGGGAAGTTTAGTGAAACTAACCAAAACATTTATTATTTCTTACTGTATATCCAATATTCTACATCAAAGACTCCCAGCTTCTGCATTGAAGGGAAGGAGGCACATTTTTTCAATCTTTCTCAGAGCTAAAATTGGTTATTATAATTATACAACATACAAGATTTGTCTGTTGCTGTTCTTTCCACTTATATTGTAATTATTATATGCAATTCTTCTCCAGGCCCCACTCAGGACTTCCTCTACCACGACCAACCTTTTCATCCTGAAGCCTCATTTCAGCCCTGGAATTCACATCTCAGAAGTATCCTCTGGCCCCTGTGCACTACTCTTCCTCTGACTGGATACGTCCTCACAAGATCTCCTTTTAAGGAGGGTGCTCAGGCCAGCCATGCCTCATTCTTCTCCAGCCTGCATAGGACTTCCTCTCCCATGCCCCAGCAATGGGAACTCATACCTTTGCCTTCCCTACCTTCTTCCCTTTGCTTTTCTACATAGTTTGAATTCCTAGAGTGCTTTATAATTTACAAAATTCTTTCTTCTCTATCTCCATTCATAAGTTTGAACTCAAGAATGTGCTTTTTGTGGATTTCTGTTCTCTTGCCCAGCTGTAACATCTACATTCTGCTTAGCTCTTGACTTAACTATTTGGATTATGGACCTACCAGCTGCTCTGACATCTGACAACTGCATTCCTTATACTACTTTCTGATTCCAGATGACTCAGATCATGACTCTTCTGCTGCCACCAAAGTCTCTGCCTAGTATGGTCACATAGGCTACAGAGAAAACATGAATTTTAGGAGACAGCTGTCAACTCTGGAGGACTGGAAGGGAGTTAAGGCATAAATTGCTTTTCCAGCAAATAAAATGAGCCTAAAACCTCCAAATCCCCAGGCTTTAGGTCCTAGGCAAGCCTTGGGAGTATAAACAGTGAATTCGATCTAAAAAGTAGAAATAAGGTGAACTAGTCAGAAGATTTCTCACCCTAAGAGTCAAGGGCCTGGGACAAAAAGACTTTGAATTAAAAAGGAAATGCCTGAAAGGAGCTATTTAATCCCTTAAATTTGTGTGCCAAGCTAACTGAGTAAACTGAGACTGTGATTCAATTCCATTAGACTCAAACAATTTTTAATCACCTACGAGCTTACATACCACTGGGGGTTACAAGATGTATGCAGAAAAGTAAAGGAAGGATAATTTGGAGGCAAGAACATTGGTGGTGGTGGTGGCGGGTAATAAACAGAGAAGGCCCCAGGGGATATCTGAGTTGTCTTGTAGAAATGAAGAGACAGCATGGGATTCTCGGGGATCAGCTGGGAAAAGCTAGCAGACCAGTTTGACTGGAATGAAAGAGAGGAAGATGAAGAAAATCTGGAAAGATGGGTTGGCACCTGACTGCGAGGAGTTTTAAATGCTAAGCTGTGGTATTTGTATTTTATCCTAGATGCAACAGGAAACAACTGAAATTTTTGAATAAGGGTGCATTGAACATGGTGCATTGAAAGCATACCAGTGCATTGGGAAGGCTAATCTGACACATGTCTACAGGATTAATTAGAGAGGGAGAAGAGACTAGAAGTAGACAGAGCAATTAGTAAGAATTATTTCAGCAGCCTAGGAGAGAGGTAATGAAGACCTGAAGTTGTGAGTGGAGAGAAAGGGACAGATCTGGAGATATTATAGAGGTAGAATTGATCAGACTTATTAAATGAAAGATTTTAAAAATTCTTTTATTTTTATTTACTTATTTATTTTTAGGAAGGGGTCATGTTTGTATATAGTGGTGGAGATGTCAGTAGATAAGGAGAGGCTGAAGGTGGAGTGTGGAATGACTGAAGGGGCAAGCTCCCAGAAGGGAGGATGGAATCCAGAACGCAAGGAATGAGGTTGGCCTTGATAAGAAGAAGAAAGCCTACTTTCTTTTCACAGAATGAAGTCAAGGAGGACAGGACAGGTAAAATGCAGAATGGTTTTGATGTATGGATAGAATCGGGGAGATGAGTGAGCTCATGACTCATGACCTTTATTTTTTCAGTAAAATAGGAGGCAAGGTCATATGCTAAGAAAGACTGGAGGAGGGGGTTCTGTAAGAGGCTTGAAAAGGAAAGAAACATTTTGGAAAAGCTGCTGAGGGAAGCATACTAGTTAGCCAAGGAAAAATAGGATCATCCCGTAGCAGTAAGGATTCCGTTTAGATCTGATAAGATAGATTTGTAGTGGACTCTGCAATTCCAGATGTGTCCAGAGGTTTCCTTCAGGTGAATTTCCTCCAGGGGCATTTGTTTGCGTGGGCTGTGACCCAGGATTGAGAATCAGAAATAGGGTGGTAGTAAGACATTGAGGAAAGGGATTCAAGGACAGAAGATTACATATGGTTGAACTTGTCAATTATAGGGTCAAGACTTTGAAGGGAGGTCAGAGCAGAGGTAATGTACTGGGAGAATAGGGTACAGTAGAGGAACTAGAGATTGTGGTAAAGCCAAAGAGTTACATTTAGGAAGAATAAGGTAGAGGAGAAATAAAAAAGATTTTAATCAGCCAGGAGAATTTCAGAGTTCATGATCATAGAAATGTCAGTTTTAGGTGATTATAAGATCTAAGGTATGACTACAAGGTGGGTGGCTGAACGAAGAGTGAAGACAGAGGTCATAGGAAATGAGGAAGTTGATGAAGGAGGAGGCCAAAGATACACTACTGTTTTCACTGAAGCCCACAAGTATGAGGACAGGGATTGTTATGGAAAAGAAGTCAGGTACTGAACTTGTTCAGATCTAGGATAAAGAGGGGGCAGCTAGGTGGCTAAGTGGATGAAAAGCTGGAATTGAAGTCAGGAAGACCTGAGTTCAAATCCAGCCTCAGACACTTACTAGCTATGTGACCTAGGCAAGTCACTTAACTGTGTTTGCCTTAATTTCCTCATCTGTAAAATGAGCTGGAGAAGGAAATGGCAAACCACTGCAATATCTTTACCAAGAAAACCCCAAAAAGGTGTCATGAAGAATTGGACACAACTGAAAACTGCTAAACAAACAAACAAAAAACAAAGATGAAGAGAAGATGGCAAATGATAGTGTGTAGATTGCAAGGAGCTCAGTGGAAGGGGAAGGCAGAAGAGAATAGAGATTCAGAAATAAGTCCTTATAAGCTACATATGAATATCAGAAGACCTCTGGGAAAAGAACTTGTGTTTTTATGGGTAACTGACGCTAGAGTTTGGGGGCAAGCCCATAAGAATTGGATGTCCAGAAGGTAAGAAACAAGGCTCGCCAAAGGAAGAGAGAATTTTGAAGGAGCTTTGGTTTTCTGCTGAGCCAGATGGAGTTCCAAGAGGAAAGATCTCCCTCTAGTGGCAAGAAAAAAAAGATGTCAAGTGGCTATTTACCATGGCTAACTGAGACGTGGAAAGAACTCTGAATTTGGAGTCAGGGTCACATCTCAGCTTTGCCACTTTATACCTGGGGGAGGTAACAACAACAACCACCACCACCAACTAGCATTTATATAATGCTTTAAGGTTTCCAAAGCACTTTACAAATATTATCTCATTTTATCTTCACAACAAACCTGGAAGTGGGTACTATTATTATCCTTATTTTATAGATAAGGAAACTGAGTCAGAAAGAGATCAAGTGATTTACCCAAATTCACACAGCTAGCTACTCTCTGAAGCTAGATTTGAACTCAGGTCTTCCTGACTGCAAGTATAAGGCTCTAGCCACTGTGTCCTCTAGCTGCCTTATATGATATATATGTACACATATATAAGAGAGGAACACAGTTTTGTGGTGGAGACCTAATCTTCAAGCCAGGAAGGCCTGGGTTCAGGTCCTACCTCTGACACATAATGGTTGTGTGACCTTGGGCAAGTCATTTAATGCCTGGTCCTGCTAACCCCTAGTAATATACCCGCATATATATGTGTAGGTTAAATTATATATCATATGATATGTTATCTGCTAAAGGGGTTCATAAATATGTATATGTAGTGCCTGGCACAAATATGCACACAAACATATAAAGAGATTTTTCTCAGAGACCATGACAATTTGCAAGATGGCAGTATAAATTTCCTTCTGAATGCTGATTAGTTCAGTCAGCATTTCCTTATGCAGGCGTTTGCGTTTGAAGGTTAAAGCCTATTACTTACAAGGCAGTGGACAAATGGAAACCACACCATAAAAGGATCTGTTGACAGAAATGGGGATATTTAGCTTGGAAAAAAGAAGATATAGGATGGATGGGATAGTGGTGTGCAAATATTTGAAAGTCTTCATGTTCAAGTAGAATTGTGTTTGTTTTGCTTGGTCTAATAACATCTGTCTGACTTCTTCATTGCTTTCTACTCTGGCTCTTTCTTTTCATCTAGAAGCAGCTAGGTAGAATAGTGGATAAAGCACTAGGTCCAGAGTCAGTAAGAACTGAATTCAAATCTGGCCTCAGAGGCTTACTAGCTGTGTGACCCTGGATAAGTCACTTAATTACTGTCACTTAATTAATTGCCTCAGTTTCCTCAAGTGTAAAATGAGGATAATAATAGCGTCTACCTTGTAGGATTGCTGTGAGGATCAAATAAGATATTTGTAAAGCACATAGCTCAGTGCCTGGCACATAGTAGGCATTTAAGAAATATTTATTTCCTTCCTCTTCCTACTCCCTCATTGTAAGCATTCAACATTGGATCATAGACAGAGAGCTGGAAGTGACCCCAGAGAATGCTGAGTCCTTCAGTTTACAGATGAGGCATGTGAGACACCAGGAGTTTAAAAGGTGTGCCTAATCACTCTCTAGACACAGCTAGTAAATGCCCAAGGCAGGATTTGAACCCTGGTCTTCCTGACTCCATGTCCAGCACTCTATTAGCTCTGTTCTTATTTTCCTCTCTTCCTTGCCAAGCTCATTCATGATTATAACTTCAAGTGGATCCTTTAAACAGACAGCTCCCAAGTCTATGTGTCTAGTTCTATCTCTTCATTGAGATACAATTTCAAATCTCCAACTGCCTCCTGGGCATTTTTATTTGGACCTTTCACCAATAATAAAAGCTTGTGTAATGAAAGAATGAAAATTGACCTCATTCTTTACCCCCTACTGTCCCATCTCATTCAATGGCACCATTATTCTCCCAGGAACCCTAGCTTGAAATCTTGGAGTCATCTTGGATATATCTCTCTTCTTCTTACCCTACATTCAGTCAATCACCAATTCCTCCCTATTCTCTGCTCAAAACACTTCAAACACTTCCTATTGCCTACTACAGTAGTAGTGTCAAACTTGAATAGAAATTGTTTTATTTATTTTGTTCAATATTATTTGTTCAATATTTTGTATTAATATTTGCTACATATTAAAATGTAAAACTTACACTTTGAAACATAAGAATTACATTTTAATCTAGTTCAGGCCTTACTTTGAGTGTTGCAGGCTGCAAAGTAGCCTGTTTGATCCCTCTGGCCTGTGGCACCAAATCTAAACTGTTTGGCATTCAAGACCTTCGTGATTTGTCTCGTCCTTTGCAATCCAGCTAATTTCCTACTACCCCACTCTCTGGCCTAGTCAGGGTAATCTCTTCATCGTCCTTTGAGTGTGTCATCTTCATTCCTGTGTCTGTGCCCATAGCCATGTTGTTCTCTGGCTTAGAATGAATGCCCTTCCTTCTCCTCTCTGCCTATGGAAAATCCCCTTCTGTTTATCCCCCAAGATCGAGACCTCTCTTCCCCATGGAGCATTCTCTAGCTATCTCCTTCTTTGGTTTCCATATTGTCCTGATACTTCTCATACCTCTCCTATTGCTCTCTCTCTGACTTCTCTTTCTCCTCTGTCTCACTAAGTTCATTAATTCATTTAACTAATATTTATTGAGTTTTCATTATGTACAAGGTACTGTGTTATGTGAGTACTTCCCTAGTCCATTTATTTCTCATTCCATCCACGCTTTGGAGCTCGCGCCCTACATCTGCAGCTATCTAATGGAACTCAATACCTAAATGTTCGAAGATGGACACTTCTTGCCTACGCCATACAATTTTTAACTTAATTTTATGTGCTGTTATCATGTTGTGTACTATTACCTAATTTGTTCATTGTGTTAGTCCTTCTCTCCCCACCTACCTTGCGAATTTCTTGAAGCCAGGAATCATGCTTCATACTCTACTTCCCCCTACCCTTTTAGCACAGTAATAAAAATTGATTGATTATAGTCATATTGAATAGCCATAGGTCACAAGTATTCATATATAGATTATACATTCAATTGAAACAATATTTGGAAAATCAATATATTTTACAACCTTAAATTTTTTTTGTACTACAAACCTAAAGCACCCCTTAGTCTTTCCACAGTCATCCACTTTGATTTTGGCAAATGGGTCCACAGGAGGAGCAGTAGGGAAAGGATAACCTGGACAATCAGAATAAATATTTGTTAGAATATCGTAAGTACAGTGATGGCCTTTTCAAAAAGCACTTATTTTGAAAATATAATTTCTATGCACCACCACACAAACATCTAGAAATGTCCAGACCTTCTAACTTTAATTAGTCTAATTCTCTCTATAACAGGGATGAGAGAGGAAAGGAAGTGCAACAAATGCACTGGTTGGCTCAGCCTTCCATACAAATAGATTTACCTATACACATAGGCCATGCACTAGTGTATAAAGGCAGAGTATGCCCTACCATATGATATCTCTACCCCAAAAAGAGCATAGATATGGAAAAGAGCCAATGAATACACTTGCTGCAGATGGAGGCTTATGTGAAGGCTTTCCTCAGGCAGGACACATTGTCTATATGGCTGGGTCATGGTTCCATGAAGAGTTAGTGTACCTTGCCCTTCTGAAGGAAAGCATTCAGTAGGGTGGGAAAGGCCCATTTCTCTTATATTCCTAGGAAACTTAGCAATTTTGTGTCAGTCTCACTTTCAGTGGAAAGTGTAAACTCGAACAAAGCAGGGACAGATCCTGCCATACAGTAATCCAGTGATTTCAAGATTGAGAAGCTTTTTAAAGAAAGTGCTAAATCAGTAATCTTTCTAAATATCCTTTCCTTTTGGCCAGGCATTACAGGGAATCCCATACGTTTTAGATAAAAATATATATGCACATATTTTTAAACTGAACATCTTTTGCCTTCAAGGATAAAAAAAAAAGCACGGGAAGGTCCCTTTTTTGTTCTGCCTTCCTCTCCATTTGTTACATCTTTAATTATATAAGAAGCCCCATATGCTTAAAGTTGGGATGTGATAGCTCTTTAACAATAAGGAACAATAGTTAATATTTCATTTGTTGTTCACAAGGTCCAACAGCTGTACATAGCCAGTCAGGTATGTGGAAATCCCCAAGCAAAAAAAAAAAAGTTCTTTCTAAGGCAGTTAATGCCTTTAAAGTAGTGTGGTTCTAGATCAGAGTTGGCCAAAGAAAAGTCCAATCTTGTTGAGATTTGGAAAAGCCAAAGTGGACTCTAAAGCTATCTCAAGAATTCAAATTATTTTGTGGTGCTTAAGGGATGTAGAAGAAAAACTCTTTACTCTGCTCATCTGGCATAAGACTACCAGAAACATTTTCAGCATAAGATATTTTTAATTTTTAAATAATTTAAATAATTTAATTTTTAAATCAAAAAGCATAATGCTATTGGATTTGAAGAGTTTCCTCCATGTCCTCACTCAAGTGGAAAAATATGGTTTTCCTGAATAGCCCTCTATCTTCTACTATTCTATTTCATCAAGATTTTGGCCTTCTCGTTGCCTTTTGCCTTAGGGGGAAATCTTATTAATCTTATGTGGCACTCTATTAGATTGTGAACTCCATGAGGACAGGTACTGTGTTTTTGCTTTTCTTTTGTTCTGAGCTTTTAGCACAGCATCTGGCACATAAAATGCACATAATAAATGCTTGTTGATTGACTGATTATATCACAGATTCCTCACCCTTCTCTCTACTTTGCATTGCAAATATATACCACTTATCTTTATATTCATCATAATAGCATAGCTGCCATTGCCTCCCACCTTTTAAGTCCTCTTTCCATCTCCCTACATCATTTTAGCATCTGACTCATTTTTTTCCTCTTCATCTATCCCTTGAAATGATGCCTTAATGACTTAAATTTACATACTTATGAATCTTCAAACAAGTGAACATGATTAGTCAGAATAATCTTTCTGCCAGACTAATCTTTCTTAACATAACAGTGGTCATGTTATTCCTATGCTCAGAAATTTTCGTGGGCTCCCTATTGCCTGGCCAAGTAAAGTTCCAACCTCTCAATGTGATATACAAGATATTCTATAAACTGGCATCACCTTACCTCTATGCTTCAGCAAATCTAGACTACTGTGTACCCTCTGAACATTAGCTATACTCTTCAACATCTGTACCTTTGCCCACACTGTTCTGTAGGCCTGGAATGATGTTTTTCTCCCTCCTTGCCTTTTAGATTCTATCACTCTCTTAAAGTTCAGCTCAAGAGCTGTCTCTTCCAAAAAGCCTTTCCTGTTCCTTCTGAGCCCTTCTTCCTCCCTGTACCTCTCCACCCCAACCCTGGGACAATTATAACCTTCCTCCTCAGACTTCACATAATACTTTGTTTTGTAACTCAATAATCTACTTGTCGAGTTTTATTGTACGTTATAACTAGTACTGTCACCCACCTGGGCTGATCTGTCCTATTTTCTTATCCTTTCTTATTCTGTTAATAGAATTTTAGTATCTAGTTTCTTTCCTCTCCCTGCTGCCTTTATTCTCTAATTATCTTAGAGTCAAGCTTTAAAAAACCCCTCATAGAATTATTTTTCTGATCTTGTTCATGTAAAGATAGAAAGGAACAAAAAATGAGCCACTTTTTACATTATATATGTGAATCATATTGAGCTTTCATTTCTCATTATGTTTTAACATATTTAGAATTCATCTCAGTGGTATTTTATATGCATTGTTTTACTTACAATGCTTTGTTTTAAATAGCTCAGTTCATAAAACTATGATTCAGTGATGGTCTTTCCCTTTGTTTCTGGTGTACTGAAACACCACAGTTTTGTTGCTGACAAAATTCTATGCCATTATCTGTGTTATTTTTCTGTCTTGTTCCACTCTGAGATTAAACTGTGGCATGATCATTAACACCATATTCTTGAAGGCTATGACAGCAGAGTGCCTCCTTGGCAGTCTCTATCATGCCGGAAAAAGGCTTTGAGCACAGTCCCAGTGACAGACTGTGTCTTCTGTTTGAGGACCAGCATAGATAAGTATGTAAAGGCTCATTACCAACAGGCTGTCCACATAATGATGAATTTTTTGTCCATGGCAACTCATGAAACAAAGGAAAATACAAAATAGCTCTGTCTTGGGCGCTTCTGATTCTGTAGCACTTTGGTGGTGTGGCCAGAAAGGGCCAGAGGGTGCTAAGAATCATAATTTTTAGGCCACTACAAATATTATAATATTATTCTATTGTAATAGAGTATCAAATATTAGTAATTTAGATATGAGATTCTTGTCTAAAAAATGACAAATCAACATACTACTGGAGAAACTTAATCATACTGATATTACTATTATAAAAACTCCAAAAGATATAAGGAAGTTGCGGCTAAAATGAATATGGCTCACAAGTTCTCCTGGGAGAACTTGGAGAGGCAAATAAATGAACTAGAGGTGTTATGTCCAAAGGCATCAAGAAATATCCTTTCATGGGCTTCTTAGTCATCTGTCTTTGCAGTGCTCATGATGGAAATGAACAAAAAGATGACAGTGAAGATAACTGAAGATAACTTTAGCTTATGTACTAATATTTGTTGTTGAAATGAGGAGGCAGAAAATTCTATGAAAAAGTAAGAGCCTCCAAATAAAATCAATGTATATGCTAATACTTGGCATTTTAGATGTGAAGATGGACATAAGGAGCAGATAAAAAAAGTTGGAAAAAATGGCCCAAGATAGACATGAAAAGGGTCAAAAGCTTGCAAAATTCATAAAATCAAAAGGTCTATATGTCATGAAAGCTTTCTGTTAGCAGACAATTAGAAGGTATTGGACATGGTAAACTCCCCTCCCACCCCCAATGAAATGGCTGTATCTTAACAGACAAGGAATTATATACCAATATGGGAGTCATTTCTAAGTCATCCATCTGTGTACAGTTAGACCATTGACTTGTTGGAGCAAAGATCAAAATTAATATTTGACAAAAAAGATGAAGATAAGGAGTTATGGCATGCAATTAATACAGTTTAAATCTGAACTCTTCAATCAAATTATTGATGCTGAAAAATGGGAAAGAGACAAAGAAAAAGTCAATGACATGAGCTATTATTCTTTATTGTGAAAATTTAAATGATGTAAAACAATTTTCAAAATGAAAAGGCTAAAAGAGCCTCATTCAATAAGTACTTGGTTTCCTTATCAAGTAGAGAAATGTGGTGGCCAAGGGCAACACTGGTTTAAAATATAATGCCATTCACTAAACCTTAAGGAAGAGTTAGTGGAAGATTATGTCAGTATCCCCAGATAAAACGTCTAGAAGTATTGGAAGGAAAATCAAATTTTCAGAGAGTTGGTGTGAGGCCCAGTTACTCCAGATCATCCAAAGAGTATTTAAAGATGAAACTGGAAGAACAACAAACAGCTGAAATGTGGAAAATATCAAATTTCCTATAACAATTTCCTTCATCAATGAAAGTGGAACAACTACATCTGAACGCTAACACCACAATCCCTGATGTGCTAAATGAAGAAGTAGCAATGTTACTAAAGAAAATGAAAATGGAAAGAGTGGTTGGTGCAGATGTAATATACAAAGGATATCTGTGATGGAAGCAGCAAAATTTTGAGGGCATTGAGGGATCAATTCTCAAGACATTTGAAAAAGGGGAAGACACAATGATTGGAAAAAAAATATGGACAATACTACTACCTAGAAGGGCAATTGAGAAGATAATAACTAATGATCCATATGCCTACTTTCCATCACTAAAACATTTTCATGAAAATGATCTACATGTATCCATGATATCTGAGATGCAAATATGAAATGGGAATAGGCAGGCTTTAGCAAATTATATACTGTAGCAGACCACATGACACACTTGACAGGAAGGTGCAGCAAATACAAAGTACCATCGTATTTATTTTTTGTTGACAATCATTTAATTATTTTAAAGGCTCTTCACCAACAAGATGTCTCCTATGCATATGTTAAGTGCATACATGATACTTTAATAGATGTAACCACAAAATAACTTCTTAAAATAATGCTCTGGTTATTAATATCAAGAGTAGAACAAAATAGGGAGTCATATGCTCACCAAAAATGTTTGCCATTTTCATGGACTATGTCCAGGAAAGAGTCCAAGTAGAAGAGAGATTCCTTAGAGATGGTGAAGTCCTCCAGATGTTCCTG